AATAAAAGCTATCTTTATAAGCTCAATCAAAGTATTAAATTAAAAATGACTTGTATGATATACAATTTTAAAGAATGATTGATAATAATTTCTCATTTCAAATTATTTATTATACATATTATTAAAATATGATACGTTTTTAAGCATTTATTAAATTTGTCTATACATAAAAAATGGCAATGTTCATGTTCTATCATTACAAAACATCATTTATTGACTCATATTGCATATCATGTTGTTTTGAATTTTTTTGATAATCTTCAACTTCAATACTCATTGTGATTCATGCATAATCATCTTTACGGTATAATTTCATCTTTATGAAATCATTTTTATTGATATCATTTCACTTTGTTGTTAAAAATCAGCCAAATTTAAGACTAAATTAATATAGATGTTTGAATTTCAGAAAGAAAATTATATTGATAAAATCTTACAGTTGATACACAATTCTAAAAATGATTTAAGTTTGTGGCATTGTATAACATGTAAAAATATAAACATGGATTTTTATGTTTTTCATATGAAATTAATTTTATCCATCAATGAAAATATTGGATTTTAAAGTGTGTTTTCAAGAATTGATCATTATAAAAAAATGAAAACCACTTTTTGATTGAATATTTTGCATATGTTGATATGTGATATATGTTATGATGCTGATATGAAGACGTATGAATCTTGTTGCTTGTAGTATGTATACATATATGATACTTGTTGTACATCACATCTTTGAGATTTTGTCCATAGACAGTAGACATGTCTTTGATGAGATTATCATGGTACTTTGTTTGATTATATGGGTTGTAAATACACAATTTACAATGAAACATTGTTAATTTTTAAAGCTCATGTTCAAAGAGATGAATTTTTGATGTTATATGTAATTAATTGTTGGTTAGATTTTTTAACCTTTTTTTCAATTGCAAATGCGCAAATTCATCATACATATATAACACTACTTTGTGTTGTTATCTTAATTTTTAAAGCTCATGTTCAAAGAGATGAATTTTTGATGTTATATGTAATTAATTGTTGGTTAGATTTTGTAAACTTTTTTTCAATTGCAAATGATCAAATTCATCATACATATATAACACAACTTTGTGTTGTTATCTTCATTTTTAAAGCTCATGTTCAAAGAGAAGGATTTTTTATGCTAGATGTAATCAATTTTGGTTAGATTTTGTAAACTTTTTTTCAATTGCAAATGATCAAATTCATCATACTAATATAATACTATTTTGTACCTCAAAGTTACAAAGATCAAATTGATCATTCCTATATAATATGATAATACTTCAACTTACTCTTCATTTGATAAAATTACTTGATGATATCCTTGTTCAACTTGAAACATTTGTTGAACCGAACATGAGCCAATACGACTTCTTATAACCTAATTATTTGTGGCTATGCTATGATGGAATGATTGCATTATTGGGCCAAAGTACTCTCACGAGAGAGTATTTTGGCGATTTGTTTGCACCATTTTGAGGCTTTATGTTGACGAATGAGAAAGATACATTCGTATTTTGATATTCAAATATTGATTTCACTTCACTATCTTGAGCTAATTTCATATCTTCTTTTTGAATCCAGTCGTAGAAATTGCTTTGCTGTGATGATAATACTATGCGATCGCGAGAGATGTCTCCTTAGTAACTTGTGCGACCGGTGGCACATCCCGCAGCAGTAATGAGTGTAATAAGCACAATCTTTCCCATGAAGGCTCGGAACAACACCACAACAATCCACCACTAAAGCTAGACGCAATTCGTGTCTTCGAGACGTGAATCTTCGAGCTCTAGCTCTCGAGATCACTATTCCTCTATAGAGCCCACTTGAATCCAGTACTTCCGGAGTATCTAATCAAAAATTTACATTGGAACAGGATAACGGTGTGGTGCAGGCTGTCGAATGAATTGTGTTAAATACCAGCTAAGTGTTTTGCGTTCCCTAAGGATACCGCGAAGTTTACCAGATTGAGTTTTTTCTGTACTTTGACTCTTGTCATGTCCGGCCCGGTTTGTTTAATTATGCGGTTTTGCCATCGTTGTTATTTTTGCATACTCCGAACCGTTTACAACAATTTCCAAAGAATAGTCGCCGCTCCCATTCTTACTCTCGTTAGAAGCTCCTGGGAAGGCTTTGCACCACAGAACAACCGCAAATCTCATGGAAAAGGAAGTTTTTCTCCACATATGGACACTTTGTACTGCGTCGTTTCGTATTCAGATAACCTTGGCCATGAACGGCAAAACCGCAGTAAATGTGTTTATTTAATATTTGTAATTCTTGGGACTGATCTACTTTTTGGATTTGGTAAACCAAGTAAATTTTTCCTTGTTCTATACTTAGCTTTGTACTCAAGAGAAGTCCCGAAGCTTACCCATATATATGTCATCATATCCTTATTCGAATCTTCAAAGCCATTCATTGAATAAATAGAAGCTGAGTTTATTAGACGTGCCTCTAACGATTGTTGAGATTTTGAAAGGACCGACGGTAGGGACGAATTGCTCAAGTGCCCTGTGACTGCACTTAAAACGAGCCCAACATGCTCGAGTCGAATATTTCGAAACTCAAAAGGAAACTCGAATTATAACAATATCAAACTGCACACAATAAATCGATAGAGGAATCTCATAGCAAATTCTCATTCAGTGAGATTTGTACATGCGAATGTGAGCTGTGCGTTCAAGCACATGACAGACTTCGTTCGATTCAGGGCGGGTTTAGACCTTGCATCTTCTCATCTTTACAGTCCTAATAAGTGGAATAATACGATAAGTGGAATAAGTGGAATAAGTGGAATAAAATTCTGAGCTACTGCGTGAATTCTGATGGTCTGCAAATTCCCGAGCTCTCTCACTTCTTCGGCTCGTCTGATATTCCTCCATCCACGTGAGGCGACAAATTGCAACGAAGCGAGAATCCAGAGAATGACGGTGCATTTTATGGGTTGGGTGTTGAGACTCAACGGAATATGACCGGCAGCTCAGCGCTCACTGCCTATACAGTTCTAAGTCCGGGGCAATCTGAAATAAACTCTTCGGTAACATACACTCTCATTTTTCTATATTACTCTGAGCCCCCATGAACTTCTATCGACACTAAATTCCGGCAGTTAATTACAATGGATGATCTTAAATCATTCATACGCCCCACAGTTGGGACCTGTTACGTGGTTCGCTTTTATGGGTTCTCAATCATTCACTTTTAAACATCGTACTGCGTTGGCATTCACCACAGTCGTCGCTTAATAGCAACGACTATTGCATAGAAACCAGGTCATAGCGAAACAAAAGAGATATTCAACACGACTACCGGATAACTCATCGAAGACAGAATTTACTTGACCGGCGATGCAAATAATAAGGGCAGAGCAAAGGGTCGATGAAGCGATGAAGCATGATTATGTCAATTTACGGTCGAAGATGTGAACTCGACTTCTAGAAATAACGAGAAGTTGCCGATCTCATGCGAACCAGTCCACCATACTTAGAAGCCCGAGGCTCGCCGAGACACGCGCCAGCTCGTGGAAGCGTCAGCCGCTGACCGAGAGTTAAGAGGGAAACATTATTGAGCGAAATGTTTTATCCAGCATGCGACAGCAACAATCGGCGATGCAGAGGTGCGTCAACCGTGACGTCAAGGGCAACTGCCGGGTCGGTCCTGCGGTCAGGAAGTCAGTCCGTCAGTCCCTTCTAGGCTTGTACCGAAGCTGCAACTACAAGTTTCGTGGTCGGATCTCATTCAATTCAGGTTGATATTTCACGTCATAGGCAGGCAGCTAGCTGGTCGGGGAGGTCAGACCGCTAAACCCAGGCCCGCAAGATTGGCCGTTTCCGGCACAATATCTCGGTTTACCGCCCTGTCGCAATGCCATGTCACCGATCGTAAGGTGGAGCCTCGGCCACTTTCCCGCGTAACGCAACCGTGCGCGGCCTCCCTGCCGACTTAGACAATTGGTTTCATCACTGAAGACTCGGCGGTCGATTCCTGCGCCACCTGTCACCGCCTCCCGCGCGCTGACGTGAGCGCGCCCGTCAGCGCTTTCCAGTCGCGCATTCTGCCGCGTCCGTCGTCTTCGCGGCAGAGTTCGTCGGCCGGCGATGACGCAAAGGGCGAACCCGGCAGGCGGTTGGCTGCCGAGGGAGGAGACGGTCGACCGGCGAGGCGACGGCCGTCGGGGCCCGGTCCGCGGCGCCGTGCTCCTCTGGATGGGGCTCGGGAGAAAATTCCTTTGGACCGGGGCAGCGGGAGGGAGGAGGCGGCAGAGGAAGGGGCCCGGGGCCCAGGGGCCGAACATGGGTCAACATCAACGGCTTCGCACGCAAGATATCGTCAAAGCGCGCATCGATCGACAAATCTATCGACAAATGCTGCCGCGGAAAGGCCCGTCAGAGGGCTCAGTCATAACAAGCGCCTTGAGAAAGGGCATGCCTCCAAAGCGGCCGCGCTCGGCCTCGGCGCATTCATGTGAGTGCAGACACAAGACACGATGCTGCTTGCTGATGCTGCTGCGCAAGAGGAGTGGTGGATGCAAGTTGGGGATTGGAATAGTGCGGGGTTACTGAAAGAACACTGACAGACATGCCAGCGGAGGTTGGTTTCATTTGGCAGGATTTAAACCGAGGACGGTAAGCAAGGAAGCAAGCAAGCGGGGGGGTGGCGATTGTTAACAACAGTGCGCGGAGGCGCTGTAGAACGCAGCGATTCGACCAGCTGTCCGCCATGCTCGCCGCCATTCGGTTGCCGAGAAGGGCCAAAACGTGTGCTCTTCTTGCCACTGACGTCGCTCAATACAAAATGGGGAGCCGGAACTGTAGCCATGGGTCCCCACCAGGTCAGAAATAGACAATATCATATGATGATTGTGCGAGATTCCTTGTACCTCCGCGGGGAAAGAAAGAAAGCGAGAAAGAAAGAAAGAAAAAGATCCACCTTTCGGCACAAGAAACTGTAGACCGAGTCGCACATGGCCTCGGCAAATTCGATCCCCGGATAAAAGTTATGGACTCGGGTTGTCCTGAGCGAGGTCACATTATAAACAGAAAGTTGCGCCTCTGTAGACGACGAATACAAGCCTAAGCCTTAAAGGCTTTTTATTCCCTACGTCCTCGTGCCTCATGGTAAGCATGAGGGCATGCGCATACCCTACGAGGTTTTCTTGCCACTCCGCTTCCGGATCAGCACTACAGTGGGGACTACTTCCACTACCACTACTTCTCCTACTTCCAGCGGTGGGCGCACGACAAAACCCTCGTCCCAAAAGTACACATAGATTTCTACTGAGATGCAGCAAACGACGACACTGTGCGGGAGTGCATCCACCCACTTGCAGCGGGCCACCCAACCAACAGGCGAAGCTGCCACTGTGTGAGTGTAACTCTCGAATCCCGTGATGGCCGGTACCCATTTGATGTTGCTGGGAGTCGGGAGTCGGAAAATATCTCAATTCTGTCGACCTCGTAATGAGTTTCTTCGACGGGTTTGACTCACTGCAGGCGACCCGATTGGGCCCGGGACGAGGACTCGAGGGTGGTCTTGGAGCACAATACAGGCGACATAGAATACTGTAGTTATTTGCGTGAGGACATGCTCGGGGGGAGAATATGCTTACGAACACATGACGGTGGAAAGTAAAACAAACAAAGGCACGGTGGAAATGTTCATGACCCGGATACACAAAATTGCGGCACTTTTAATGAGTAACAGAAGGAAGAATTCCTCGATACACGCAATGAGATGGTTGAAAACTCCACTACTGGCTGGCTGTGGAACAGGGTAACCGCAATGCAATTCGATAACGGCGATACATGGACGGAGAGCTGAGCTGACGTTCTCGGCGCAGTCCGGGTGTCGCTTTCTTTTCCTGGATCCGTATGGCTACAGATCGGGATCATGTTGGCCTAAAGATTTGAACATACACCATCTTGACAAGCTTAGTATGTCCGTTCCTAAACCTGTGGACTCGTATCATGATTTCTGAGTGTCGGAAAGCCAGGAATCTTGCCGAAGGCGGTGGCAAAAGGTTTGACAAAAGCCGATCCCGTGCACCGATGTGCAGAAAACTGCTCTTCCCGCACACCGGCCTGCAGCCGATGATGATTTCCTGCCCCCACCACGAAAGAATCAAAGTGAAAGGGTCGCTGCATCATTGATGACCAAACATGGACTACTACTTGACTGCTGCTGCTGCCGCTGCTCGTAGTCTCGCATGACTTTTGGGAACCTTCTTTGCCTCATCGGCTTTCCGCGCACTCGTCTCTCCATGACACTTCGCACACCTGCGATTCACACTTCCTCTTCACACTTCAAAATACCCATAGATTGGCCAGTTCTAAGCTAGAACTGATACTGTCTCCACTTCCAATCGGTCAATCTCAGTGCAGACCACATTGGCTGTGCAAGAAGGCTCTTTCCTTCTCCGAAAACCGTGAAATCTCAGATTTTTCCGTCTGCATGCGAGGCCGAACTCTTTGACATTGTGGACGTGGCGGCGGTGTCTGGCTTGCGTTTGAAAGTCTCGATTATCATCACGATCTGCTTTCCGAAAACTTCCAGAATCTCTTGGTTGAACTCGAGGGGCAGTCTTTCTCTCGTCACTCTGAGGTAAGTCAAAGCCCGATGGACGACCTCCTTGTAATGATGCAGCTTCAACACGTGCTCGGCGTTCAAGGACTGAATTCAGAAGGAGCAAGAGCACACGGCAAGGGTAAGAGAAAGTGGATACACAGAAGTCCGACTCGTTGCAACTCCCACCTTAAACCCCTCACTTCTCCCTGAACGAAAGCTCTGCTACGAAGTAAAAAAGATCGACGCGTATTTTCAATCCGCAATACGGGGGAAGCTGATCAGAGCTAACACTGGTCCAGGAGGAAGCCTTACCCGTGAGTCGAAGGAGGTGATCAGCTTGTACAGCTGCTCCATGTCGTGCAAATACTTCGCTTTCAACACTTGCAGCTGCACGAAGATGAAATCCTCGGATGAGCACAAAGATCCGCATAGCTGGGCGGGCAAGATGCTGGCGGAAAGGAAAATGTCCTGCAAGAGAAGAGAATAGAGGAGAAGCTCACCTTAGGCCACACAATGTCGCGCTGGTCTACGAGACCGGGGCATCCATAGCATCCCGCAACTTCGCCGGCTGAAGAATCACAACACAATCTGTCAGAAACGCGCGCGAGCCGCGAGCCGGAAAACAAAGCCACCGAGCTCCAACATTGTTCTTCTCATCGCACTGGTAATAACAACACGAACCGAACGCGGGAGGCCTTACAATAATAAGACATACTTTGATATGATCTGAAGAGCTCTGTTGGCTCTAAAATCCACCTCGAAGCTTTCTCCTAACACAACGACAGAACTCATGTTTCCGGAGCGGACGAGACACAGATGTACAACGGAGCAAGAATAAGAATGCTTCATTCCACACAACACAAAGCTGTTCTCTTCTGCTGTACGAACGGACGCGTGAGGGACAGGCCCACTTACCAGCTCGCTGCTGCTGGTTCGCTTGCTGCTGGTGCTGGTGCTGATGCTGATGCTGCAGGTCACAAATGAAGCCACAGGCGGGTCGGGTCAGTAGGATTCTCAACATGGCGTGGTACTAAATTATGGAACACATTCCACCACCGCGAGCAGCGCTATACTTCGGTTGCATTTGCACAGGCAAATTTTCTAGGTCGGACCCCGAGCTATGACGACCTCAATTGTCCACCGGGACTTGCCGACTGATAGGAGGAAGATGGGAGCGAAAATGCGCAGCGGCTACACAATGTCCTAGACTTCGGGAAGGGCGTACGCTCGTCTGAACATTGCATCGCACGCAGTCTTGAAATCCACACTATTTCGTGAGATGGGAACGATCGCAGCACAGGAGGTGCTGTAAGACGACGGCGAGCGCAGCGCGGGCGACATGCAGATCACGGCGTACGAAAAATGCAAATCAGAGCGAGGCGAGCAGATCTCACCTGATTCTGTTGCTGCTGTATGAGCACGGGCTGCTGCAATCTGCCACTCATCATTTCAGCCTGCTTCTGCTGATGCTGATGACGGGTTTTCTTCCTCTGAGTACACTCGTTCTGAATGGAAGAGGAACAAGAAGATCACTTCAAGCTTCAAGCGAGCGGAGGGATCAAATCACCACCAGCGCCCCCACAGCCTTACACCCAAGATTTAATTTCAAAACTGCGATTAATTTTACCCACCGATCCTCCAGAAAGCCTTCCTAACACAAAGGGTGCTGTTTTAAAGAAACTCTACTCTGAGAGTGGTGCTGGTAGTAGTAGTAGTAGCAGCGGCAGCGGCAGCAGCAGCAGCAGTGGCACTGCGACGACGACGGCGCCGGGACAGGGCCTTGAGGTCCTCCTCCAGGTCGCAGAGCAGCTGGTGGGAGCTCTTATTCCCCTTCCACTTGTGCATCAACTGGATTCCACATACCATTGTGTTGCCCCTCCTCTCGAGGAGCTCAGAGGTCGTAACCGTCCGACGATGATGAAGCACCCGGATGGCCTCCCTGCATCGTCGCTTCTCTCTCTCTCTCTCTCTCTCTCTCTCTCCCTCCCCAACCCTCCCGATCCTTCGCCGTCCCCTCCCTCTCTCCCTCCCTTCCCTTCCTTCCTTGCTCGCTCCCTCCCCCTCCCTGCTCACAACATTCCACTGGGGGCGGGACGAGGAGTGTTGCTACGCCGCCCGCCGGACGCGGGATTATATGAAAGCGCACGGGTCCACCGACGGGGCTCTGGATTTTCGTATAACGATCGCTCGCGGCCCTCACGCGTGGCCCGCGCCTCCAGGGTCCAGGAGTCCATGCCATCCATGAGTCGCGAGCGAACAGCAGAAAGAAAAAGAGAATTCGCCGTAAATCAGAAGGAACACCGGAGGCAGGCAAGGCAGGCAGGCAGGCGAGCTAGCGAGCGAGCGAGCTGGAACATTTCCCGATTCATGTCACCGCATTCGGTTCGTCCATGTCGCGTCCGGTCAAAAGCCAGGCGGCAACTGAATCCAACGACGACGACGAGAAAGAGAAAAAATTTTCAAGAGAAAAATAGTTTTTAATATTTATTCACTTTTTTATTGCAGGGTTTTGTTTTATCTGTTTTCTCTGGAGTATGGAAGGGTGGCAGACGACGGGTCGTAGACTGGGCTAGTCCGGGCGCCGAGGCAAATCCACGAATCTGGCTCTGCGACATGCTCCGATCGGGTACGCACCCGACCGAGAGCGGGGGCGGTGCGCTGGCGCGATGCCGTGCCGCCAGCGCAGAAAGGGTCGGCTGACCGAACACCATTCCGGCGAGCACCCCCCCACCATGTGTCCTCTCGCAGAGCTGCAGCGCCTCGCTCGCTAATAAACTCCACACACCGACCATCGCCCATTATCCCGTGCAACACTCCACTCGTCGTCGCGCACCGCCCCCATCCATCCGCCCGCCTCCCCTCGCCTCCCCCCTCCCCTCCTCTCTGCTGCCTCTGCCTCTGCCTCCTCTTTCTCTCCTCGCCGTCTCTCTCTCTCTCTCTCTCTCTCTTTCTCTCTCTCCCTCAGCCTGCGCCTCTCTGACAGCACCTTTGTCCTTCTGCTCCCGCCGTCCTGCTTTTGCTTTTCGCGTTCCCGGCTAGGCCCTGCGACGTCGCGACCCTCGGGGTGCGCGTGTCGAGCCCTGCGCGACGCGAGAGCGCGACGACACGGGCCCGGCACCTACTCGTCGTCCGTCTGTCGTTTTGCCATGAGCCAGGAGGTCGAGGGGGAGGCGGAGGGGGAGAGGGGAGGGGGGATAGATATAATTGACCTGCGCATTCGATCGGTCACTAGGGGCCTCGTCCTGAGGCAGGGGCAGGCCCCAGCTGCTGCTGACGAATGTCGACTTTAGTCACACCAAATCGCTTGCCCGTCCGCTTTATGAAATCAAGTCGACTGGCGATAGTGATTGCAAAAGCTATGGAATTACGGCACAGTGCCTCGACAAATGACCGGGTTCGCGAAAGCAGAGCACAGGACAAATCTCCTTTACTCGATCCGTCCGTGCGCTCGCTCGGGCGGGTGACACATCCATAACCAATTCGATCGGCACCCCGATCAGACCGATCTCCCTCCCCCGAACAGCGGGTGCCCCCCAGACCCACAGACTCGGAAAAGCAGACAATGGCCCTTGGCGATCGCGTTGGCGTTGTCACAGTAGGCCTTGCACTGTATGGTATGATCGTATATGTCGTCCATCGTACTGTACTGTATTGCTCTGCTCTGCCCCGTAGGTAGCTCGGGCGTATTAATACTCGCCGGGCGTTTGACGATTTCTTCGAATCGACTGCCGTCACGTCACGGTGGCGCAAATTCCTCGATAGAAGTCGCCTCTTGAACCCCATTCTGAGCGAAATCGAGCACACTCCGGCACGTGCTGCAGGGACGGAGAGATTAATCTAGGGGGAGAGGGGAAGAATTACATTTCGTAGCTTCTTCTGCTACTGCGATCTCCGTTCGGTTCACACGCTTCGATAATTCATTCTGTCATGAAGGTTCCCGATGCACGATCTGGTGGATGCTGTGGAGGAATCTGCGGATACGATGCTTCGGTGGCCGGGAATAACATCCGACGGAGATGGATAGATGGCAGTGCACCGAACGAACTGCAAAGATGATCGACAAAGCGCAATACCATATCTTCAACAGTTCTTACGGTTCGGTCTCGGGTTGCGCATGATGCGAAGATCGGTTGGTGAGAGGTGTTGGCTCGCAGTTGGTTGGCTACAGCTTCCGAAAATCTCCGGGCCCCGCCATGGCTGGCTATTGCAGTGGATAAATCGATCGCTCGGGCCTAGACTCACCCAACGCAGGCGGACGTGAATTTCCAGGATCGCCCGTGAGCCTTTGTTCGTCAGATCGGTCGAGCGACCGACCGAGCGAGTATCCATTTTGGCGCTGCCGTTCGAGATTTGGTCCAATATGATCTGCTGTTCGGATTTCGACCTGTGCAAACTCCCTCCATGGAATCTCCGAATCCCCCAGATATTCAAGAGTTTTCCAGGATTTTATTTGATTTTACACTAAATCTTCGACAGGTCAAAATAAACTATTGACATAAAAGAGACCTTCTTGATCGTGGAGATAGTTGGTCTGAAAGACATATAATATTCACATCGCTTCTCTGTTCAACTTTTTTAATTCGATGTTTATAACCTCTTCTTGGTACTTGAGAAGTACAATATCGAGCCCGTAAAGTTTCTTGTCTGTATATATTTGTCTCATGAACGTAATAAATTACTTTTTATTATTATAGTTTCAAAATTTATGGTTTTTTCGTGTGAAGCTTCTTTGTAATACATTTCATTCACATAAAGCAGTATATTTATATATAATCAAATAATGCACGATATGTTGATGAAACTCCATAGTTCCTCATTGATCATTTTCACCTTAAAAACTTAATACTCTATCCATCTAAAATGTCCATGCATGTCATGTATTTTGCTTTACGATAGTTTCTTTGTTACATAGAGAAACATGCATGGACTTTTTAGAAGTATAATTTAAGAAAATTTTCCAAAAAATTATGAAATTATAAATCTTTCTTATCTTGAAGATTGGTTGAGCTCTGGAAAAAGCGCAAAAAGGAAATGTGCTAATGCATTTTCGATAATCTGCAATCTTTGCTGATTTTATTTGAGGATTCAAGCAACTCTCACTTTTGAAACAGCACGGATGAAAAGTCTATGTAAGATTTATCTTTAGATGTGGTTACAGAGTCATCTTGAAAAACATCCATCATTTATTCTGTTTGACCGATCCAGCTCAAGAAATGTATTATTTTAACAAAAATACAATGTTGCAATCATGAGGTTCTTCGATACAACTACTATTTTAGTGTCTATAAAGTCTTGAAAGTTGATTAACTTGGTATTTATAAATTCTTTAGGTTTAAACTCTGAATCCTATGATTTATAATTTTGAACTCAAAGGTCTTGTTGAATAACATTTCGTTGGAATAGTTAGAATCTTGAATATTTGATTTGAAAAACTAGATTGTAGATTTAAACGCTATTTATATTGAGTAATAAAAATTCAGTTTATTCTTTCAAATTTTTTAAATAATTGATATGAATAAAAAGTAAGATTTTTCCAATCAAAATGACAACAGAGATATTATAAAAAATCAAAAACAACAAAATGGATATCATATAAATCGGAATTTGACATACTAAAATAAAGAATACATAATAAGAAGCTATTATAATAGTAGCAAGTCATAACCAATCAAAAGATTATAATTAAGAGCAAGATGTTCACTAAAGATAAAATTTGGAAATATTAAGTAGATTTTAATTTAAATATTGTTAAACTATAAGATAACTTTAAATCTAATACACGAGGATGATTTTCATAATTAAAATTTATTGTTTAAAAATCTTATAAATTTAATTTAATGTGACTTATTAGAAAAAAATATATGTATTGAGTGGCAATAATGAAATTATAATTTATTTTTTAACTCATTATTCACAAAAGAATGATAATTTCATCTTCTTACTCTTCTTTATTGAATACGACATTGATTGTGACTTGTAAATGATAAATTTAACCAAATATAAAATATAAAATGAGTTGTAAATCTAGAGTTGAATTTTTTAACTTGAATTGTAAAAAAAAAATTGTATTTAAACAATTTTTTAGAGTATGCAAATGATGTGAAGAATATTGAAATAGAAATAATAATTTTGAAAAAGATTACTAAAGAGCAAATACAGAAGTTGCAAGTTTGCGCTTGTGAAATTTATAATTTTGAAAATAATGAATAAGTGTATGATTTAAGATCATTAGTATTTATATTTCTTATATATTGTAGAAAATAATTACTAATTCATCCATTCTAGAAATATTATAATAAAAAATTAAGTATAATAAATGCAATGTTTTAATCTTGGAAGAAAAAACCTTGTTATTACCTAATCATCAAGCTGCTTTCAATAATCTTAATTGGGTGTTGTATGGATCATAAAATGCAATTGCTGATTTATAATAAAACTTGGAATAAAATTTATCATTCAAAAATCCATTGTCTGATTGATAGTTTATTAATGTACAAGTTTTAAAATAAAATTTAAAAAATGATATTCAAATAAAAGAAGTAAATCCAGATTGAATTCTACATCAAAGATTACTTAAAACTTCAACAAATTTTTTAAACTTGTAGAAAAATATGATAAAAATTGAAAAAATATATAATTAGTTGATCAAAGATAAAATTATTTTGTCACATCATTTGTCTATGAATTTTTACATACAAAAATGTACATCATATGACTATTTGATAATAGAAATGAAAATTTTATAAACTTAATTTCTATTCAAATTAACAAATTTTCAAATCACCATATGGATTGAAACAAGCTTTTAGATATCGAAATATAATTGTTTATAATTACATGAAATCAAAAGATGTTCACAAATTATTTTTTATAACACTGTAGATTAGAGAGATTCACTTTTTAAAATAATATGTAGCTAGATTGAATTTTTTCTTTCTTATATCAATATTTTCAACATTAATAATGAGATAAGATATTATCTCCATCATCTAATTTGTTTCTAGTGAATTGATT